ATTCAGCGAAAACATCCTAAGCCAACTTAAAGCAACTAACCCAGTTTGCCTCCCCCATAGACCACAGATTAATAACTTTCAAGAAATAGTGCAATGAGATGATATTTGCTTTATATGTCAGGTGGGGGCGGGGGGGGGGGCGGGACAGGGGCCCCTGGTGGCACAGTGGGTTAAACCACTGAGCTGTTGAACTTGCTGACCAAAAATTCAGCGGTTCGAATCCTGGGAACGGTGTGAGCTCCCACTGTTAGCCCCAGCTTCTGCCAGCCTAGCAGCTTGAAAACATGGAAATATGAGTAGATCAATAGGTACCTCACAGGCGGGAAGGTAACGGTGCTCCATGCAGGCATGACCTTGGAGGTGACTACGGACAATGCCAGCTCTTTGGCCCAGAAATGGAGATGAGTACCAGAGTCCAAGAGTCGGACACGACTGGACTTAATCTCCAGGGGAAAATCTTTACCTTACTGGGGCGGGGGTGAGGGTTATCTGTATTCTGTAGTTGGTTTTCTAAGGTCACTGCTTAGAGTCTCATTCATGGGAGAGAGGTGGGATCAAAGCAAATCAATCATAATAAAAATCAGGATTTCAAAGGGCAGCGTATTTATTATTATTATTATTATTATTATTATTATTATTATTATTAAACTTTATTTGTCCCCCGCTAGCATCTCCCGAAGGATTCGATGCGGCTTACACAGGCCGAGGCCTCAACACACAACACAACAATACAATCTAAGCAAATCAAACAATTAAAAACAGAATAAAGCAAAGTAAACAACAGGCACAATACACTAAAACACAATAAAACTGGGCCGGGCCAGAGAATGGGTACAAGAGTTAAAAGTGCCGATGTGACAGGAGGTGTATAAAGGGCTTCCAGGGCAAGGGCGATGTGCGATGTGCAGCAGTCATTGGTTCTGGAAAAGTGATTATGGGACTTGGTGGTGGAGATTTCCTAATCTGGAAAGGCGCATCGGAAAAGCCAGTTCTTTCTGAAGACAGCCAATGAAGGGGCCTGTCTAAGGTCTTTGGGGAGGGTGTTCCAGAGTTGGGGGGCCACCACGGAAAAGGCCCTGTCCCGCGCCCCCACCAAGCGCGCTGCCACATGTATAAACGTGTTGGTATCCTGGGAATCCAAGCTCTCCTCTTGGAAGCTGGGTGTGCTTTGCATGTCCTTGGGATCACTGAGAATGAAACGCCCTTTGGGTCGGAGGAAAGTCCTCTGCCCTTCTCTCTGGCCTCCTTCCACCCCAGGGGCTCCTCCCCACAGCCAGGCCCCAGGCAAAGGGGGGGGGGGCATGAGGTGCATCCTCCTCCCACTCCCCCACCGCAGTTTCCTGGAGCCAGCCCTCCTTCCTTGGCCCATTTCAAGTGCAAGCAAATTTGGTTTTCATCCCTCCAGGTGTTTTGGATTTCAGCTCCCACCAATTCCCCACCTTCCTTTTCTGCTTGAGTGGCTGAGTGGGGAAAGCAAGGGGCCTGAGGCTGCGAGGAATGCTGGGAGTTGGAGTCCAA